CTCTAGTTAGCTCTTTTGAGATGGTGTGTGTGTGTGTGTGTGTGTGGGGGGGGGGGGTTGCTCTATCTGTGCACACTTCATTTCTCCATCCCGGTCTCTTGTGACACCTTAAATCACCTCTTATCACTGTTGCTTTCTTTCATCCTTGATCTCCCCCCCCCACCACCACAAACCCCACCCCCACCAAAACAAAAACAAATGCCCCCCATGGATCATCAAAGAGAGTCAGCTGATCAAACCTGTGTGGGATAAAGAGGGAAAGGTTGGGACACTTCAGCGTACTCCTGTGGTATTTTTCTCCCCCCACCCCCCTCGTATTTTTGCTCAGTGGATGGAGACACGGTTATCAAGGCTCTCTGGAGACAGACAATATGGCCGAGACAATGGACTCTAGTCCAAGGTGGTGGTGGTGGGGGCGAGCGGGTGGGAAAGGAATAGAAGGAGAGGGAGGCCGAGACGGGGCCACAGGGGAAGACGAGGGCAGAACGGCACATTAGTTTGCAGAGCACGGACATTCTGCTCAATTACTCTACTCCCCCACCCCCACCCCACCCCCCAAGCCACTTTAATCTCACCCCTTTAAATGAAGTACAGCAAAGGAGCAGCACCGCTCCCTCAAACTGGAGGCGAGTCGTACGAATTTCCCTCCTAAAAGTCCCTTTTCTTCAAAAAATAAACAAAAACAAAAAAAACGACAAGTAAACAAAAGCAGGAGTTTGACACTAAAGACGCAAAATTAATGAAGTGATTAAAGTCCAAGCAGGACTTCACAGTCGCATCCTTTAAGATAAAAATAGCAGCCCATCAGTTTACGTCTGGTCTTAAAAATAAACTCCGAGGCGGAAAGTAAACGACTAATAATGAGACTTGAAGCTGCAGCTTCATCGGAATCGAACCGTTCAAAGTGTTGACATGTCCACTGCACACCTAAACAACAGAGGGGACAAATGGAGGGGTGTGAAAATCCACCACCGCCTTAACACCCCTCTGACAGAGTCCCCTTCCTCCCCCCCTCCACTCCATCCCTGGCTGCTGTGAGGAATGTGTCAGTTTGACCACATTATTTCTTCTCCTTCATCCATCCGCCTTCAAATCTCCTTCTTTTTTTTTTCCATCTGTGTTTTGGTTGTTTTGGCTTCTCTGCGTTTCTTTCTGTGTATCGTTCACTTCTGTTTTGTGGAAACGGATAAGCCCGAGCTATCAAACGATGTTTGATTTGACTTTAATTTATTTTGCCTTGAAATAAATAAATACAAAACATTGCAACACTTAAACCCACCCGGCATTTAAAAAAAAACAAAAAAACAATTTAACTCCGAGAAGATTAATCGTAATTCAAGTTGGTGCACTAAAAAGTAAACTAACTGAGCTTCAATTAATTTAAAACACTTCTTCAACTATTCGGACAAACTTTAAAACGGTGCACGTCTTTGGCGGCTGTTTGTAATTAAAGAAAGAAAGCATGACTCACGGGTTAATTTTAGAAATGAAGAATAAAAGAGGAAGAAGAGAAGGAAGTGCGAGGAGAAGCAGCATGCGAGCGGACACTTACAGTAACGCAGGAACCGAGAGCATCATTGCAAACCTCTGGGGCTGGCGTGCGCACACACTGTGGCAGCTCGTGCACGCTCCGCTGTCAACACACACACAGACGCTCCTACACACGCCGTCCGGAGCCGTGATGGAGTGCATTACTGGAAAGCAAGAGTTTTAAGCGCTCTCCTCCTAAGTCATTGTAATCCCTGCATTTATCTCCATACATTCTGCTTTTCGGTGTAATCCTTTAAATTTTTAATTCCTCCTAGCTGTTGTTATCTTTCTCCTCTCCTCAACTACTTTGTGGGATTGTACAGTTTATTAAAAACACTTCTTTTTTTTTGCCCACATCTAAATGTGCTTTTAATTCAAGAGGGCTCTGCAAATCCGCCCGTCCGACCCCAGTTTATCTCAAAACAAAAGATTAAAATAATGCAATAAAAGTCAAAGCGTGGGGGAAAGAGTTGTGTGAATTAAAACACTGAGTATTATAACGTAATCTGCGTCTCGCGGCGCTCGGATCAAGCAGCCATTATTCCAGCGGTGTTGACGGAGCGGGGTTCACACCTCCGAAGGAAGCAGGCCCCGCTCAACAACACAGATTAATATTAGCATACGGCTCGCAAACAACAACACCGCAGATCCAGAAAAGGATTAACGAGGGGATTGAGTTTGGATTAAATGAATTTAGAAGAAGAGACACCGGCGTTTGAAACTCAAACCTCAAAGTACTGATTGTGGACTTTTAGTTGTGGTTATTCAACTGGCGGTCCAGGGGCCAACTCAGGCCCACGGGTGAGCTCAGTTCGGCCCACCAGTGACTTCAATTTAAATAAAAACTACATTTTAAACCATAAACAAACTTAATGACAACAACTTCTGGATGTCCAGCCCCTCAGCTCTTTACTTTCAGTAACAATGCCTCCCCCCCCAGCAAAGTTGCATGTGCGCACGAGAAGGGGCCGTCTAATTGCTGACAGCCGAGCAGAAGTAAAGTTGTGGTGTGAAGCGGAGACGGGAGGATGAGACACACACATCTCGCTCAGACCCATGCGCACGGCAGAGTTGTTTGGAAGTATCGAGCAGAGCGAACGCAACTTTTAGTCCGGACAGACGGATGAAGGGGGGGGGGGGTCGCTCCCGTCACTGATGGGACGAGCACGCTCTAACGCGCTTACATCTAGACGTGCTTCAGCTGTGGATGTCTTTAGTAAAAGTAAAGTGAATCATCACCTGTCTCACACACAAGTCGCTCCGCTGCTGAACACACACACATCCACTTCGTTACATCTCTATCTTCTGTCATCTGTGTGTGTGTGTGTGTGTGGGGGGGGGGGGGGGGCGTCACGTACCTGTTACACTCCTGAGGTAGCTCAGGCTCAGTGAGCATGCTGGAGTACGGGTCCGTCTCTCTCGACAACAACAACATAAAACAGTCCCACAAAGCTCAGATGAACAAGGTTAGTCTCCCCGAAACAAGACGGGATTGAAGTGATCCTTCAACCTCTCACACACACTGCTGTTCCTCTCTCTCCCCCGATGTTTGTGTGTATGTGTGTGTGTTCCTCTCTTTACTCACACACTTCCAAGCTTGCACCCTCCCTCTCTTGTCTTTCTCTCTCTCTTTCTGCCTCCGTCCCTCCTCTTCTCCCTCCCTCACTGTAAGCTGTGAGAGCCGGGCTCAGTTCTTAAAGGGCCAGCGGCGAGGTCCACACACACACACACACATTCTCCATTCACTGAGGAGAGTGTGTGTGTAGTGAAGGGGCGGGGCTTGTTCTTTGACCAGAGGGCCCATCAGCAGCAGCGCTGCCTCCTTCCTCAGGACCACCCCTCTGGTTTTCTCACAGTCACCGGTCACAGATCATGTAAACACGCTGCGACGACACACGGACTCTTCGTTACAGGAAATAAACGGAGTTCTTCACTGTCCGATAAATCATCAGGATGCAAAAGTTCTTCTTTTCTACATGCTTTTAGTCCAACTCTGAGGGTGTGTCGTCTTCTACGACTAAGAGGTTCTCACGGGTTTGAAGTCATGAAACATGCTTCAAATTTAAAAAACAAAACACTTTCACAAAATATCTTAAAGCAGTGGTTTCCAAACCCTGGTTCTTGAGGAACACCATCCTGCATGTTTTAGTTGTTTCTCTGCTTTAACACACCTGATTCAGTGATTTAATTATTTTCTCAAGTTCTGCAGAAGCTTGTTAATGAACGTTCATTCAAATCAGAAGTGTTGGTGTCCAAAGGACTTCATCAGTCTGAGGAACCACAAAACTGCATACTCCATAGTGGGGAACAAAAAGTTTGCTGGTGCTAAGATGGCCTCCAGGTCCCGCCCTCTGAGACAGTCATGCCAAAGTGGTTCAAAACGCCAAAGTTCATGCGCAATAATCCAGGTATAAAATGCTAAATAAATAAAAAATTAGCATCAATATTTGCTACTGTTGCTGCCTTTAGCTTGTGTTTTGCCACTTTGTTAGCAACAATTTAGCAAGCATTTAGCTTTCAGCTACTGTTTTGCTATCTTTAGTGTTTAAGATGCTATTCTACTGCTTTTAGTATTTAACTGTTTTGCTCATGTTAGCTTCAACTTTGTTAAATTTATTTTTAGCATCTTGTTTTACATTTTGCTCATTTTTGTTACCGATTTGATGTTTTAGCTTTTAGCTTGTTGATCGTTGTAGTCTGTGTTCTGCATCTTTCACCTATATTAACTCAGTTTTTCCGCCTTAAACATTGAAAATGCAGTTTTTCCGTTTAGGAACCGGTTTGCTCCTTTTTGTGTCTGATACGATGCTCTCACCTGATCTTGGTGAAACACCTAAGTCCAAGTAAGCAGCATGATGTTCAGACAACTTCGACTGCGAACACAAAAGAGCTACAGTTTTTAGTTTGCATGTGACTCAACTTTAAAAAAAAAAAAAGTAGCTCATTACACACCGACACATTTAGCGGGTGCATACTTTCTAAAGTTTGTTATCTCTACTAATGCTTTAGACTCATCTGTGCTCAATTTGTCAATTTACATTTCTCCTTCCTCGTCCGCTGCCCCGTTGGTTCCACGGTGTTGGCAAAGTGAGGCAGTCCTGTGCTCGACTGTGAAACGCATCACGCTCTTCACGTGATTGGTTATGCTAACAGAATAAAGCAGGAGAACAGCGAACAAACCTTGAAACAAGATTAATAGAAGGTTTCCTGAGGTTGAAGCCTTTGGATGCTTTCAAAGACGGGAGAAATTCACGACAACGCCGTCCAACAAAGGTCAATTACGTCGCTTTTTGAATTTAGATTATTTCTTTAATGTTTGGCTTTTATGTCCTTGTTGAAAGAAAAAGACATGATGGATTTAAAACAAACCGTGTACGTTTTAGCTCACTGACACCCCGTAAACGTAACCATTAAAATATCCTAAACGGCATTTCTAATTCGTTTAACGGTATTAATAATGGACCTCTGCATGTTTCTACATTGCTGTCATTACAATTTAACAGTGACGTGAATGTGAGGGGAAACCCCTCTCCTACCGTGGCCACTTGCCAAATAACAAATCTAATGAACCTGAATTCATGTTCTCCGAGGCAATCTTCAGATAAATGTCATTTGATTACTGCACAAGCATTAATGTCAACATGTTTGAGTAATCCACCGCCGTCTGTTTGGGCTTTCTTTTGTGTGCTGTGTGAAAATTTGTAGTAATTTTTATTGAATATATGTATATATATATTTTTTTCAGTATTTAGTTTAATGTTGCAAAACAAATCTAGATGAGCTCTGCAGGTAGATCCTCAAAATTAATTATAAAACATACCTGCCACCTTTTGTGTCTGAGTTTTAAATTAAAATCATCGGTGTTGAGGATAATTCTCAGCTACAAGAACAGATTTTAACTAAACTACTAAAACTGACGATGTCTGCGTTTTAATTAGCTTAGCTGTGGCAGCCATATTTATCTAGGTTAACTCCAAAAGGTAGTTAGTTGCAGACGTGCATGTGTTGGTTTCTTCTTGAGAGCTTCAAAATCAGCCGAGATGTTTTTGTTTCCTGTCACGGAGTGAAGAGGTGAAATCAGAAATGCCCTCTGTGTGTTTTAAGTGCATCTTCTGAGCTGAACAACTTGAAATATTATCAATATGACAACTTTCTGGGTTTGTGGCTGCATCTCGGCATAAGAGGTCACTATGGAAAAGTGGGTTGCCACGTCCAAATCCAAGATGGCGACCACAACATACGTTTGTAAACTGGGCATACCAATCATTGGAGGAAACTATGCTTTTTAGTTTTTGTAATGCTTAAAAGTAGTGTTCCCTCAGATGATTGTGGTGGCTGAAGATTAATTTAATGATAACCAAGGCCAACATTGGCCACCCCCTGGCTCCGCCACTGCAGCTAGTGGATAAATTGGCCCCTCCACTCGCCAGTATCCGCCACTCTGCGCTGCTTCAGGCAAGCAAAGAAATTAAAACAAAATAAAAAGTCTACCTCAGTTATTAACCTTAACCCTAAAAAAAGACATTTGCATTCCCTGCTTAACTCCAGTCCAGAAAAACACTCGTCTCGAAAACTACATTCACTATTCAAATCCCTCAGCGAGGGAGGACATCGGAGTGCCGCTTCTAGTATCTGAAAGACCGGGTGCACACACAAACTCAGGCAAAAACATTATCGCTTGCTCCCAAAAGGTGTGGCGAGGACAAGTTGGAGTCGAAGTTTTAAGACGTAACATTTTTGACGTAGACGACTGAATCTGCAGCAGTACAGCTGAGCATATGCTGAAGCTCTCATGCTTGGATACGTGCAGACACAATAAGCACATGCAACCTGTCCACAACCTTCGCCTGCACCCCTTTGTGTCCTCAGGTGTGTGCGATGTGTGTGTTCGAGTGTGTGTCTGCGGTCGGTGCAGCCCTTAGTGCTGTCAGTCACTATTAAGGGTGTGTGGTCTGTGTGTCACACATACGGCCAATCCAGCCATTGTTCTGGAGAGCTCAGAGAAAAACAGAGCTGACAGGCTGCCACTTCTGCATTACTTTAACACAAACACACACACACACACACACACACACAGCCGCACAAAAAGAGGAAGCAAGCAAGATTTAATGTACACTAGCAGACACTATACGACCACATGCAGTGTGCAAAAATCATTAGTGTGAGTTCATGAACACAAACACACATTAAAATTAATGAAATACTGGTGAAAATGTGTTTCTTTATAGAAAGTATGTGTGAATGCGTAGTGCTAAAATGTGCAGATAAAGCTGAAACGGCTACGATGGACTGGAGACGTGTCAAGGGTGGCCCATGCCTCTCGCACAGTGACTGCTGGACAGGAACACCAGTGGCTCCACAAAGGAAGAAGTGGGGAAAGATTATGGATGGATGAAAGCTGAAACAGCTGTTGAACTGACAGAAGCAGAGCAAAAACTAATAATCTAAAGGAGCTAAATGCAAGCTAAAAGCTAAAAGGAGCAACGTACGAGCTAAGGCTAAAGGGCGCAAAAAGCAAGCTAAAAGCCAAAATGAGCAAAGCGCAAGCTAAAAGCTAAAGGGAGCAAAGTACAACCTAATTGCCAAAAGGAACAAACTGCAAGCTAAAAGCCAAAGGGAACAAAATGCAAGCTAAAAGCCAAAGGGAGCAAAGCATGAGCTAAAATGAGCAAAGTGCGAGCTAAAAGCCAAAATGAGCAAAGCGCTAGCTTAAAGCCAAAATGAGCAAAGCATGAGCTAAAGCTAAAGAGAGCAAATTGCAAGCTTAAGGCCAAAATGAGCAGAGTGCAGCTAAAAGCTAAAGGGATCAAAGTACAATCTAAAAGCCAAAAGGAACGAAATACTAGCTAAAAGACAAGGTGAACAAAGCATGAGCTAAAGCCAAAGGGAACAAAGCATTAGCTAAAGCCAAATGGAACAAAATTTTAGCTAAAGTTAAAAGGAGAAAAGCATGAGCTAAAGCCACAATGAGCAAAGTGCAAGCTAAAAGCCAAAGGGAAAAAAGTGTTGGTTAAAAGCCAAAAAGAACAGAACATTAGCTAAAAGCCAAAGGGAACAGAACACTAGCTAAAAGCCAAAGGGAACAG